GCTGCGAGCTGGTGGTGTTTCTCCTCCAAAGCCTTTGTCGTTGGCGGGATCTGGAGATTGCGAGCCGGAAAGCAGTGCAGGTAAGCTGGGATTCAAGCGCAGCGTGACTGCTCAGGCTTCTGGTCATCTCAGCCATCCCTAATTTCAGTGTGAAATCAGTAAGTGCTTGATTTCTTCACCTATTTTCATATAACCTTGCAAGAAGGTGATGTAGGAGCACCTCATAGGCGATGAAAGACTGGAAGGGACCTCTCCCAATATCTGCTCCAGGCAAACGTGACCTGAGCTCCACTGCCACCAGGGAAGGGATGCAGCAGAACCTGCTTCTGGCATCAACTTCTCCAAAGAGCCCAGCAGAGACGTTGGGATTTCAGCTGCAAAGCATCTGGCTCCCTCTTGTGCTCCCCGTGTTTATGGCAGGAGATGGTGGATGGGACAAAGTCCAGCTGGTGGAACCTGCTCATCTCCTCGCAGATCCCATCAGCAGGTGTTAGTCCAGAGCTGAGCTGGTACGGACCATCTCCATATTCCTGGAGCTTGCCAGGAAACATCAAGCTGTTCCCGGAGCACGACGAGGGTGTGCAGCTCCATACGCACTACGTGCAGCCTGCCGCTCCTAGTTTGATGGGGGATGAGTTGTGACTGTCAGCCACAGCTCCCACCTTGGAGGAAATCCCCCCTTCTCCTGCACGATGCAGTCCAAGCGACAGCACTGCCATCTGCACACACCGCACTCGGCGTGCGATGCTTTTCCTCCTCCGCAATGGCAGAAATTTAAGGAGTATGAAATTATTTCATCTGTACAGAGACAGAACTTTGGTTTTCCAGTATTGTATACAGCTTTTTTTTTTTTTGGGGTACTCTGTGTCACTAGTCCTGATCCGTACTCCTCCTATTACCATGTAGTAGCAGCAACAACTGGGGAAATCCACCTGGAAAATGGCTTTAATGCAACGCTCCCGCTGCCGTTAGACGTCATATTTCTTCTTAACCGAGTTACTTTTAGGAGATTTCTTTCAAGGGCAATAATGGGTGTCAGGAGACAAAGGAAAGCTGTGTTAGGCGAAGCAGAAAAAGGGACTTGTTTTCCAGCAGATGTTCTGTAACTCTCTACAGCTAAGGAAAAAGTAAGTACAACCAGACCGGGCTCTGTCAATTCTGAACTGTTGTTCAGTTTTGACTCAATTTTTCTGTTCTGGGTTTTTTTTGAGGTTTTTTAATCATAATTAAAATAAATCATGAATTATTTTTTTTTCCCTTAGCCAAGTTGTCTGGTTATCTTCAGGCATCCTGGTGCAGGAATTGGGGAAGACTCCCCTCCTCTAAGGGTAAGTGAAAATGGGGATCTACGTGTGATTTCACGATGCCCTTAAGTTTAAAAGAGAGAGAGATGGAAAAGGTCCTTTCATCAGTAACTGCAGCAAATTGAGGGGTAGAAGCCCCAAGGATGCTAAATGAGTTATTTTGAATTAAATTGGATAGAAGCCACGCATCCCATAAATACCCACCCGCCACACTAACCACGAGGGAAGAAGCCACCACAGAAATGTGCAATGGAGAAGGAATTTCCCCAGCGTTCGCTGGGCCCTGCTCTACAGCTGCTTTTCTCTTGCACAAGATGTGCAACAAAACAGGAACGTGTGTGTTTGTTTATGGGAGCCTCCTGGGAGCCCAGCCCGAGCCAAGAGAGAGCCTCCGCTCCTCCGGATACACAGACTGCAAAGCTCAGCTCCTCTCTCCTGCTGGGGGTACAGCTAGTAATCCTATTTATTTTCCCTACTTTTGTTTTGTTTTGGTTTGTTTTTTTAGTAAGACACATGGGTCCAAAAAGTAGCAAGTACTTCTTCGTGAAGAAGATGTCACTCTGCCACTGCAATCTTTCTGGAGATGCAACAGGTCTTTTGTAGTACGTGCTTTTTTAACAAATGCACAGAAAAAGTATCAATGCTCCTCCAAGGTGGCAGAGGCAGTTTTGTTGAAAATTAAAACTTTTTTTCCTAATGGAACAACGTCCTTCCCGTAGGAATTGGATACATCTTTCACATTGTGTAATTAGATGCTCAGGTACAATGAGGAGTAAAGGCTTTGTCCAGCCTTTGCCCCGCCAGGGCAGGGCTTTGTGTCATTGACAGCAAAAGGACTCCAGTAAATCTTTCTTCTTCCATCCCCTCCAGTCAACAAGGAGATTGCTGTTGCCTCCAAATTGTGTAATATTTTCCCGCTAAGGGATGTTGAATTGTCCCTTGAATCCTCAGGGTTTCGGGTGACAGAAAATGGTGTTTACCCCACTGACCGTAGCGGGGTGCTCCCAGGAACTGGGCTTAGATTTTGCCACTATTTGCGACGTTTTTTATTTTATTTTTTAGGCTTTGTCAGTAGGAGTTGTGCCTTAAGTCAAAACTAAGCTTTTTATTTTTACAGCATGAACTGTTATGTATTCCCTTCTGGTGAAGGGCAGCAAGTGTCAGCACAGCAACAAGGACAAATATTTTGTTGAGGTCCCATGAGCAAATTCTCTATTCAAATTAAAAGTGCAAACCTGAGGCTGAGAATACGGAGTTGGCACCACGGGTTTCGATCTAGGAATAACATCAGGTATTTTCCAATCTACACAAACACTAAACGCCTTTGTCAGGGGGAGTTTAACAGATAGAGCAGTGCTTGGCTTGCCATAAAAACCCCTCTGAGAAGGGGACCTGGCAAGTCTCTTACCAGACCTAATACTGATTTGTTTTGTTGTTCATGATAATGACAAAATCGGACTGTCTTTTTTTGCTAAACATCTATTGTTTTCCATGGCATCTGCACCACAAAGGAAGAAACAAATCTGTGCTTCACTGATGATGTTATTCGGCTGAAATGCTGTTTATGTTTTTACAGCAAACACTAGTCTATCCTGGTGGATCCCACTTTTTTCTTGCTTTTCCAGAAATCAGGAAAACACTCGGTAGCGTTAAATTTAAACTAAGTCAGCCATAGGCCGTACATGCTACAGCCTCTCTACTCTCAGTAGTAAAGACCCTGAGCTGCCCTGCCCTGGCACAGCGACAAGGAACCATCAGAGGTGACAAAGGTGGAGTGTCCCTGGCCAACGGTGCTGCAAATTCAACGTGAAAAAACATCCCCAGAAAGCGAAACAATAGCTGCTATTTACTAATCCACCCTGGATCCAGATCTCTATTTACTAAGCACTCCATAAACACGGAACAACCAAGGCAAAGCTCTTTTTGTCTGAAGAAATGACATCCTCAGTACGAGAGCAGAGACAGCAGATGGGAGAGCTCCGGGAAACAATGAGATAATGCTGCTGGTGGGTGAGAACCGGCCCCAGCACACGGCAGCCCAGCACCGCCAAGGACGCGGGGGCAAAGGGGCGTTTGGCGAGCGAATCTGAAGAGAAGCTGTTAAAACCGAACCAGGATTCAACAGCAGAATTGAATAGAAAATATTAAGGCTATGAATCAGAAAAAAACTAAGGCTCTTCAGAAAAGAGAAGGGGAGACCAATCCGGACACTAGTAAAGAGCACTAATTTCATTAAAGGATTATCCTTCACAGAGGATTTTTCTCTTTTACAAGGTTGAAAAACTTCCCATTTTTGCTTAAGCTCTATGGGGAGTACCCAAAACAGTCCTGAGCTGAAGAGTGCCTGTGCTCTGCGGGGAGCAGAAGAGGAGCTCTTCCACGGCCTGACGCTGGGCATCCGTCCTCAGCCCCATCTCTGACCCCCTTGGTGAACCTACGGGCTACAGGGCAACTTGGAACAGGTTAAGCCTTTAAATCCTACCCCCCTTCCAATTAAGCAAAGTACTTAAGCTCATCATCTTCCCACTTTTGACAGTATGTTTTAATACACAGCATCAGTTTAACAACTTCATCTTTCATTGGCGTAATTGCAATGGATAATCAGTCATGACAAGAAAATGCCTAAAGCATTGCTCAGGCTTTAGGTTTGTGCTTCCAACCAAAAGCCTGGGGCTTGGTTCAAAGACCACAGACACGATATTTCATCTAACTAATTTATTGAATGGCATAAAAACTTAAACCTGTTTCTGCACATAAGTTACAAGCGCTGGTGCTCCACATGTTTTGACAAAATATTCTGAACACACTCATATCTATGATTCTATATCACAAAATAAAAGTTATTCTTTAAATTGGTTTTATAAAAAGCCTAAATTAGGATGGGCACTTGGACCCTTGTAATGGATATAGAAACGGATTTGCATAAACAGAATCTGATTCAAAAGTCTAACTGCCCCAAAACTGTGGATATACTTTCACGTCTAAATAAGATGCTGTCAAGGGATGCTGCAGATGCCGTTACAGCTGGAAAAAAACCCCATTATTGCTTCTATGAACACAAACTCACTTATTTTCTACTGTCAAGAACTTCCAATGCCATCTTCCAAGGTCTTTCTCAGGACATGACAAGCCTGTAAATTTAATAAGCATTCCGTCCCCTCAAGTGTCAAAGCTCTATCTTCTTCATGCATCTCAAAGAGGAGAACCTCCTTCTGCAGACAAAGGCAACAGAAAAAGGCCACCATTCCTGTTCTCCCTGGTCACCTCCTTGCGCAAGGAAACATAACTTCCACGCTGTATTTCGTATCACGCTGGCTCGCCCAGCTTGGTCAGCCTGACTTCTTATGCTAATGAGAAGTCTTTAAAAAATCCTCTTTTCTCATCTTACGCTCTGCGACAGCAAGACAGAACGAGCGTGCGTGTGCCCAGAAGGCAGCTAAAAGGTGGCTGTGCCTGGACAGAGGAGGCCTAACTTCTTCAGTCTCTAAGCTCATGAGAGATACAGAAATAATTTGTTTCCTGTTCTGAACTTATTTTGGTATTTGGGGAGAATAGGCTTGTTCACCCTTATGTAAGGCTCCCCAGGCTGTGAGTGGGAGAAACATGACCGATCTGCAGCGTCACAGAGGTGCACAGGTTGCACCAGTCCAGCCTGAATGAGAAGCACAAGGTGTAAAAAGCACAAACACTAACTTTCTACCTGGTTTGAAACAGGCTCTGCATCTTATTGCTCACCTCCTTTGTAAATTCAAAAACCTCGGAAGAATTTCCTATAACATCAATGTGAGTACCATAAGGAATGATCAAAACAGAAGGGTAATAGGGTTTTAGACTTTCACACACCCGTTGATATCTCCGCTTTTCATCTCTACCGTGCTCTTCAAAGTAGATCCTTTCTTTACGTAAAACATTATGGAGTTTCATAGACCGATTTTCAATTTGTTCTTTGACTCTTAACACCTGTCCAGCATCAGACCTACTTCCAGCATTCTTAATGTATACTGTAGTTATATCACCATCAGTGACGTCAGAAATCACAACATCATCATTTACTAGGAATGTCCTGGGGAAAAAGCACTTCATGTAGTGATATATATCTGTGTCAAGAACGACCGCTTGTTTTTCCCCATCTGCATCATGATTGAAATGACTCGTCTCTGTGGGATGTCTGTGTTGCTGTAGCCTCCTCTTCGGTCTCTGACGGGACTTATTTTCTCCTCTTTTGTCCTCCTCTGAAAGGGATTTTGCTTTTAGTAAGAGGAAGTCTCTTAGCAATTGGATTGCTGGAAATGACCCTTGAACAGAAATATGTCCATTGGATTGCAAAGGACCAAAGCTCAAAGCTGTGCTCTTCTTCTTCAGTTCTTGTATCAGATCTTCTAAAACAAATCGATCTTTGAAAACAGACATATTGAGGACAGACGTGACAGAGCTGAAGACCTAGAATTTTGAATTAGAGAAGTTAAGTAACGGTTAACATAGCAATGGAAGTACAACTACACAAATCATGAAGGAGCTTACGTTCTCGCAGTAACGGGTTACTTTCAGTGGATAGCATCTGGACAACCTCTTGTCTTCTAGTCGATGTTCATCCTTCTTTAGGACACTCTCTACAACTAAAGAGAAAGCCAGATTCACTTGTTGTACAGCAGACAGTGCCCCATTGTCGGTCCAATAGCACAACACTTCACACGTGTTTTTCTCTGGATGATTTCCATAACAGTTCAATACTCTTGCCTGATATTTTATGTATTAGTCAAAAATTATTCAGGGAGAGACAGAAGCCTGTCTTCTTAGACCATTAATAGGCAGAGATTCATTCTCAAAGGCCTGACTACAAAAAACACACGTTATGTATGGTATAAATTTATTCCTAAAAACAAACACAACAAACACTTTGCACGAAGCCTGTTTGAAGTCATGACTTCAATGAACAGAAATAAAATCCTAAAACTTTGACTGACTAAAAGAGAGGTGTTAGTCTCACTGTTCTACAAAATCCTAGTAGCAGTAAACAATTCAAAATAATTTGGTTTGGGGTTAACATTCTAGGGCTAATTCTTTGGGAGATGGCTGTATTTACTATAGTATATTAACTTAAATACCTTCTTGATCTTCAAAAGTTACATATGCGACTCCTTTTTTCATTGTTGGGTACCTTACTTCTTCCACATCTCCCCCGTTATTCTTCGACATTTGGAAATGAATCATCAGGATGTCCGTCATGACATCATCGTGCAGAAGGCCATCTGGAACACCAGCAATGACAACCGTCCTTGCTGATTTAGCAGCTTGTCCTGTAGCCTGGGCACAGAGACATGGCACAACGTAAATGCAAGGAGTACCGGGAACCTCCCGCAGAGGTTACCCAGATTCACCCTGATCCCTGAAGTGACTCCCCTTCCTTTTGCACAGACAACATGTACATTTAGCAGGTAATTAAAAAGACTGCTGAATCAGATTTCCGTGAATGCCAGGCTCCCCCAGGCACTTTTCCATTACGGCCTGACTCCTAAGTGTAATTTACACCCTCTTAATATCTCATTTTCTTAGAGTAGTAAAAATTAAATCTAAATTTAACCTTTCTCAAATGAAAGGTCCAGTGTCACACTGATAAGGTTGTTTCCTCCTAATATTCAAAACTGGAAGAGAATGAAAAATTGTAATTGCATGTACTGTTCAGTAAGGATTGTCTTTTCAGAGTGGAAGGGTCAGATTCAGACTGTCCTTACTTATTAAATTCATGAGAGCTGGGATCAGAGGTTGTGCTCAGACTCATCTTTCTCCACTTACTGAATGGATAACCTTGTTAAATCGGAAGAACATAATCCCAGTCATCTGAGACTACCAGTGCATAAAACAACTAACTACACACATGATTTTCATCAGAGCCAAACCTCCCAATGCTGCAAACATGAAACCCAACCTAAATAGGATTTGCATCCATGTCTTGCTAAGAAAAGCATATTTTCTTCCCATAACACAAACAAATATTTCACTGGGAGTATCACAGCATAATTACTGTAAATTGTGGAACACTGAGTATATTTTGCAACAGTTCATTGGCTTTTTGGAAGAAAAAAAAAATTTAGAGTGTTTGCACGGCAGAACTGTCAATAACTTCAGTGACCGCACTCCAGGTCAGTCACTCCACCTTTAGACTTCTCTTGCAAAGTTTCTTCTGGACCCAGACTGCATACAACATCAGGGCCAGCAGAGCAGTTACAAAACCAGCAGAATGTGCCGCTGGGGTCGAATGCTTCCTTGACGTGCGTCCAAAGCCTTGCGGACCACCACCCTGCAGCGTGTCTGAAGGGAGCGAGGAGGCAGACTCAGTGCAACCATGCAAGCTTTTAATTCATAACGACGTGAGGCTTTTTTTTATCACCCATCAAATTTAAAGAGCCAGGAGCTTTAACTCTATCAGGCAATTATGTTGGTGGTAACGTTCATGCGAAAGCAAGTTTCTGCACTAATGAGACAACACGAAGAGAATACAAACAGGCTGCTTCCAAGAGCTTCACGCAGGATTTTCTCACGCTTCGCAGAGCCGATGCAGCCCGTGCTCGAGCGGGAGCACTCAGCTGCCAGACAGCATCTCGCACCCGGCCAGCTGGTATTTTGGAGTGAAAAAAAACCCCCATGAACATACAGTTTGTGCTGAATCACTTCTAAGACAAGTCTGCGTTAGCGGCTGTTGCCAGACAGAAATGGGGAGGTGACAGGGGCAGGCGGAGAAGGGAAAGAAAGGAGAGAAGGGAGAGAGAAGGGAGAGAAAAGGGAGAGAAAGGAGAGAGAAGGGAGAGAAGGGAGAGAAAAGGGAGAGAAGGGAGAGGAGGGAGAGGAGCTCTTGGGCCGCTGGTGACCGGTGACCACAGGGTCCTGCGCACGGCCATTTTCTTGGCAAATCTGTCACACTGACAAGAGATGGGATGTGAAGACTTACCCACAGACCTCGTCGCTTCTCACTGGGATTAAAAAAACCTGAAATATTAGTACTAGTGAGAGGGAACTCAGACCTGTTCCTACCACTGACTAACTGGAGGCCAGCACTGCTCTCTGAGCACCGAGAATTTCCTCAGAGCGGGCACCAAGCCGCGATTCCCTCCTTTCCTTCCTGTCGCCCCGTTATTTTTAACCCTCTGAGGCTTTTACCGAGGCCGCGCAGCCCAGCCCCGCTGTGAGGCAGGAGAGGCCGGCGCGAAGGCCCGCGCTCTCCCCCGCGCTTCCCCTCAGCCTCTC